TTTTTTTTTAAAAAAAATTCAATTAAAAAAAAGAATTATTTTGACTAAAAGTTTGATTTACACACACACACACACACACACACACAGAGAGAGAGACAGACACACACAGAGAGAATAATATTATAAATATAAGGTAAATACAAAATTACCAGAACAGAGATGGACTTGTTCTATTTACCTGTTATAATTTGCATATACAAAGATCAGTAGCTGAGGCTCAGAAATATCTGTAAGGACTTTCAATCTTGGAAGCATCTGCAGCAGGTGAAAAAGGACCACACTTTCTAGAGACATTCTGTCACTTCTAGACATATCTGATAAATAACTGATATTCTGCCCTCAAGTTAACCTCTGACTGAAGGTTCTTTTTAAATTAAGCCATCTATTATGGGACATCCAGGCAGTGATGGCATACTTGAGACCAAAACCAGCACTGAAATGATCAAAACTTCTACCTTGCCATTAAATCATAATGCTTCTGGCTGTATGAAAGGGAATTATACTGAATGGAAGAATCCATATGCAGTCACTCTATGAATGTGAATATCTTCTTCAAGGATGAATCCTCCACCAGTAACATTAATTACAGAAACATCAGAGTAATGCAATTCATATGAAGCAAAGCACATAATAGCAATAGGAGTTTATATGCTACAGTTGAATGATTGAGCTGGATTTATGTGCATGGAATGTGGCAAGGTTGTGGGGGGGAGATAATGGGAAATGAAAGGAGAAACTTGGGAATTAGCAGATGAGGGTTACTTGGGAACCAGGTTACATAATCGTGATGGGTTAAAAACTCCACTGTTTTTGTTAAGGCCTTCTGAAACCTCTTGATATATGTAAGTTCAGCTGTCTCACATTTTATTTTGCGTGAAGGTTTTTGTGTGTCAGTATTTCAGTAGATCCTCCCTGGGAATCAGTCTGGCTCTATTGATCTCACTGAGTAGGAGTTTAGCCTCCTGAATGCCTGGTTTAACTCCATCAGTTGCGCGTATCTCTGTCTAGTGGGTCAAAACAAATTTACTTATAACATAAAGCCTGGATGTCCCAAAGGTGCTTTTTCAGGGACCAGACAGTCAGAACTGAAGAAGCTTTTTGGCTGAGAAGCAAAATGACTTCAAGGGAGAAAAAAGTCCAATTGCCTTTTCAAAAAGCACCTTTGGGGCCACTATGAAATGGATGACTGAGAATCTCCATAGACATAAAGCCTGTATATACACTATGCATTTAATGGTATATTCTAGATGGAAACTGGAAACATGTAGGTATGCATGGAGACTTATAAGATTTCTGGTGTTTATGTGTCTTATATGTATTTGTGTATCCATCATAGCATGTTATCAGAAAAGTGGACTTGTTCTTGGATACATATTGGCTTAGGTCAGAGGTGGCTTCCTACTGGTTCGGACTGGTTCGGCCAAACTGGTATTGGTATGCCAGCCTGGGTCGCCAGAACTGGCAGCGACCTAGGCCTGCCATGCCTCTGAACTGGTTCCCCAGTCGGCATGTCATGGTTTTTTTGCAATTTTTTTAGGTTCTGTGCATGTACAGACCTATTTATAGGCAATTGCGCATGCACACGCACCAAACCAGAAGTAATGCTGGCAGTAACCCACCCCTGGCTTAGGTTAAAGATGGGATTGAAGTATTGGAAGTCTTGAAGTTTTGATGGTATTTAATAAAGGATTGTTTTCATGGGTACAGATTTTGAAAATGTTGTCAATAAATTTCATATAAAGAAAGGTTTTGAAAAGAATTGAGAAGATTTAAAATCTTCCATGAACATGTTGGCATATTGAGAACCGTGTATATGCACATAGGTGTGCCATTGTTGTGCACATATATTTGTTGCCAATGTAACATTGTCTGGTGGGAAACTGAGCTGTATTGTCATTGGCTATTGTTTTCTTGATATTTTGAAATCCATGTTTGTGACAGATGTTGTATATGGTGCCTTAGCATCCATGGTAGCTGAATGTGTTTTCAGGGATATTGCCAGTGAATTTCAAATTTGTTATGAAGTGGTCACTCTTGTATAGGTGGGACGGGAACATTGGTAGCATAAAGTTCCTGAAACATAATCTTTCAGATGAAATATTTCCAGTGCTTGAAACATGGGACAGAATTGCCTGTTTATGTATTTTGAGAAGAAGGTAGAAGATGCCTGATCAGGGTTACTGCAGGTTCTGAATATAGATTGAATCTTGTATGTCCTTGGGAAATTCTTTCATGTGATTGTGCAATTGTTTCTGATATTTCAGTTTGGTATCTGAGGTCAGAACTTGGTACAACATTGAAACATTGCCTTTAGCTTTGTTAATTTAATCACGCTCAGAATGGCAACTGCTCTTCTTTTGTTATCTTGTTCAATTACAAAATAATTGCTGTTTTGAAGGCCTTTGATGGCATCCCTGCTGATATTGTTACATATGGGCAATCAGTAGATGATTGTGGCTCTGATTGTGGCTCTGATTGTGGCTCTGAGCCAACACTCCAGAAGATAGGCTAAAGATACAGAAGGATCTTGACAAACTTGAACATTGGGCACTATCTAATAAAATGAAATGTAGTAGATTTCATTGTATGTAGTAGTGTAGTATGTAGTAGATGTTGAGCAAGATCTTTCCAGTGGCCATTCAGAGAGGCAGGGTGAATCATGGCAAAGCCAGGAGAGAATCAGACCCAATATTGTAAGGGAGGAAAGACTCTATCTCTTCCATCCTACAAACCAAAATAAGATTGTATCAGCCCTCAAAATATGTCATTGTTATGGAGCTGGTTTTCTCCAAAGCTTGTTGGGGGGAAATCACCTTTAGTCCCTATGGAGAGATCCTCAGGAAATTTCATCTTTTCACAAAAGAAACGCCACAGTTGGTTTTAAGATGGGTAAGTATACAAATGTCATAAATCAATACATTTTCCTTTATACACCTGCTTTCTTTCTGAATTTCTTAGGATGCCTTTACAGCTTTCCACAAGGATGAGGATCTGGTAAAAAAACACTTGAATTCCCTGTTAATTGGAGAACTAACACCGGATCAACCTAGCTGTGAACCCACCAAAAACGTGAGTATTCCCCAGCATTATCTTTAAACTTAAAGTGTGTCCATATGTGTCTGCCTCTGAGAGGGAATAAAATCAATATTCATACAGGAAAAATCCTGTAATACAATGAGAACATGGGTTAGACAGAACACATCTGCAAGTAGCTGCATTGAAAATTCCCTTAGTGATTTGTTTAGAGTTCTGTCTCTTGCAGTACTAATTTCTGCCTGAACAACAAGCTATTTCTCTTCTGATAAATTAAACAATTTAAATGAAGAATCTCCTCCAAAATTAGCATTTGAATATCAAAGAAAATGTGCTTACCACAAACTCTAGTTCTGGCACTGAATACAAACTTCTAGGATGAAATGTATTCAGCAGTATTTTGAAGCTGGAATGTATGGAGGAGAAATAAATAAATATTAGCCCTGTGTGACCTATTAGCCTTTAATTTAGCAGCTGATTAGAATTGATGCATCTTGATAGGGCTGAAAATTTGCCAATTTTATATCAGATAAGTCAAAGCACATCAGGGCAACAATGATTTTATATGCAGAATTCCCTTTGTAGGACTAGAACCTTTATTGTTTTAGATAATTAAGACTTATTCTTTGTTTTATTTATTTACTCAATTTATACTTTACTTGTCTAATAAAGTTGAATGCACAAGGAAGTTTAAATCTGAAAATGTATTTGCAAGCATATGTTTATGTGTGTGTTAAATATGGCTCTGCATGATTGTTTAGGAGTAAAAAAGAATCATTTTACATTTTCACAAGTCAAATCATGTTCTGAGAATGTATAGCATTGAAGAAGTTTGTGGTAAGAACAGATGTTTATTACACATTTTAAATATGAGCTAAAACTCCTTTCTTAAACAGAGCAGCTTGACGTATGTCAAAAAATTGCAGTGAGCCTCATTCACCTTGTGATAATTGCTCATTCATCTTGTGCTAATTAGTGCATCTTCACTAATTTCTTTAAACTACCCCTTATACAATATTTGTTCTCGCTAACATGAAGATAAGGAGGCAGCAGAAAGTATTTTTCAGATGTATCTGCTGAGTCATTGACTGAGATACAAATAAACAGCTGGATATAACTTTCATTGCCTTTGTGATTTCATGGAAAGGTGAAAATGCAGCAGCTATTGTACATGCATAGGAAACGAGTTATTGGGGGCATAATTACATGGCATCATTTCTCATAGGAAATTCTGGTACATGATTTTCATGAATTACGCACGACAGTGAAGAAGATGGGACTCCTGAAGTCCAGTGTTCCTTTTTTTGCGTTCATATTTCTGCATGCCTTCTTGCTGGACGTGGCATCCTGGTTCACCATCTGGTACTTTGGAAAATCTTGGGTGCCTTTCCTTATTGCAGTAGCAATGTTCACTGTTGCACAGGTAACTTTTTGTGTTGTGGAGTATAACAGAGTAGTAGAACAGTCTTCAGCACACTTAATTTAGTAGTGTAGTAATATTCACCACAGGTAATCTATTAATGAGTTTCTATCTCTGACCATACAGACCAATTCCCATTGGCTCCATTCATTCAAAGTAAAGAGGGGAAGTCTCATTGTTAACAAAGTTTGTGGGCAGAAATATGCTTGGGCTACCATGGGGAAAGTCGGCAAATAGAATTCCCTCCTGTGTGATACATCTACACCAGTGGTGGGATTCATTTTTTTTCTACCAGTTCTGTGGGCATGGCTTGGTAGGTGTGACTTGGTGGGTGTGGCAGGGGAAGGATACTGCAAAATCCCCATTTCCTCCCAATCAGCTGGGACTTGGGAGGCAGAGAATAGATGGGGGCAGGGCCAGTCAAAAGTGGTATTTACCGGTTCTCTGAACTACTCAAAATTTCCGCTACCAGTTTTCCTGAACTGGTCAGAACCTGCTAAAAACCACCTCTGATCTATACTACACTAAATATTACAGTGCAGCTGTTGGGAGATCTTTTTGTATAACTTCAACCTGCCTCACTGCTACAGATTGTAAAGGCTAACAACTATGTAGTGGGGCCAACTACCCCAACATTTATCATAAATGGAGGTCTTACTCTCTTGGAAATGGTTACACTCATGCTAAAAAATTGAGGATTACATCCTGTTCATATGGCTGGAGCCTGAAATCAATACAGCAACCCTGTGAGAGCTAATGGGAATTTATTTATTTTACTTTACTTATTTATTAAACTTTTATGCCGCCCATCTCCCCTACAAGATGACTTTGGACAGAATGTTGCTCCCACCCTGTTCCCATTATATTAAAAAAATTCATTTAAATGTGTAGTTGTCTTTGAAATGTAATGCAAAGCATTCTGCAAGACATGGCCTTACTGAGGAGTATAACTGTTCCTTCTTAAACTTCTAGCAATCAATAATGCTTAGGATAAATGTACTTACATTTCTGTTTCACTTTGTTAACATTGGTACAACAACTGTTATTGCATTATAAATGTAAGTACTTCCCAAATGAATGCTTAAACAAAGCAACCAGGTCTTAGAAACCAAGATCTTGTTGGGGGGGGGGGATCATATATTGGCATTGCTTCTTGCTTTCCAGAACCAATATGGTTTCCTTCAGTAGGATGAGGATGCTTACATTTCCTTTGCCAATGTCATTATAGCTTCTACTGTGCTTGCCAATTTACCATAAATTCTTCTCAAATAGATATTTGAGAATATGGCAGCTTATGCTGAGCAATGAGTCCTTAAAAACGGAAAACTTGGCCAAAGAAAAGTCTCATGCAATTCATGTTCTTCTTGCTTTCTAGATCCAATATGGTTTCTTTCAACATGATCTTGGACATGTTTCCGTCTTCCAGAAGCCTAAATGGAACAGATTGGCTCATATTTTTGTGATGGGAATCCTTAAGGTAAGAGTTTAAAACTGAAAGTGGGTTTTCTCAAATCAACTTTGTTGGAGTTAAATTGTTATTGGTCACCCAGAATTGTTAGGAGTGCATACATGTTTAATTCATTACTATGGTTGGTCACACCATCAGTCAGATGTTTAGGACTTGATGGTGTTAAAGATATAAGGTGTTCCAAGTAAAGCTGCCTTTTGCAATTGATTGATTGATTTTGTCAAGGATGATGGTGTTCAAATAGTGCTCTAGATGTTTTGGGACTGCATCAAAGGTGCCTGGTACTATTGACACTATTTTTGCTTTCTTTTACCACAATCATTCTCATTTTATTTGCAGGTCTTTGTATTGGGTAATTTCCCCCAAGTTCTTTCTCTTCTATTCTGCTATTTCAAGGTACTGCAATCTCCACGGTTCAGATTTCTTTTTCTTTCTTTGGACAGTTGCTAAGTCTGAGATGTTATATGGCAGGTGTTTCTCTATTTGAATTCTAAAGTCCCAGAACGCTTTAGCTTCTTAATTTTCTATTACTTTTTCTGTTTCATGGTTCTACTAGTTGCTTTCCATTGCAAGCAAATGGTATTTCTTGCAAATATTCCAATGCACCATTGTTGCTATGTTTTCAGACTGTTCTTTATAGTCAGTCTGTACAGTCTTCTTGTTGTAGATAAGTAAGTGGTCTACTGTTTCTTCAGGGTTTTTTTTTTTTTTTTTGCAGACAGTGGTTGTACTCTGTTGCTGTCTTCTCAATTCTCTCTTCGTATGTATTTGTTCTTAAGGTTTGGTGCAACCAAACTTAGCCATTTTATCTGTTTCTTCAACTTTCATGCTCTTGGAATTGCTAGGGCTTGTTGTCTGCTTTGGCTGCTAGGGTTGTCTTTGTGTGTGTCTCTCTCTCTCTCTGTGTGTGTGTGTGTGTGTGTGTGTGTGTGTGTGTGTGTGTGTGTGTGTGTG